TTCAGTTTCAAGCGGGGAAGAAAAACACTGGAAACATGGTGACAGCTTGGAAAGATAGTTTAATGGTGGACAGGATCACCTGCCTTGGGTGAAGAAAGCAGAAAAAGGGCTGATATGCTGAGACTGCAATTGTTTATGCCCTCTCTTGGGATTTGAATTTGAGCTTGTGTTCTGATTGGTTGTCAGACTCCCATGGGGCAACTCTGTAGGCTGTCCTGAGTCCTATTCCTATTATAGCTCTACCTGGAGGTCTTTGTTATGTAAAATAGACTGGCCTAGGTCAGAGTAATGGTCCATTAGCAAAGGTGTGGGGTGAGCTTCTGCTTCTGAGGTAAATTTCTGCTTCTGAGTTTCTACTCTTTTTAGGGGAAATATTCTGCCTTTTTAATATTTCCTAGGATATTTCATTTCTCTTTTTTAAAAAAACTTATGAATTTTACAATTAAAACAGACAGACAACACATACATAAATGTGAAAGAGAAAAAAGAAATAAAGAAGGAAAAGTGAAAAGGAAAATACAGAAAACAATTACTAATTTTTCTAGGAGAGGGGTGAGTGCTAACTTGCTACAGGTACAAACTATATGAAACCTGGATTAATGCCACTAACTGTGAGAGGGATTTTGGCATCCTACTAGTGGGTAATCACTTAAGTACATTTTGTGAGGAAGAAGAAGAGCCACTTTGGTGTAATGGTGAAGGCACAGGTTGGAGACAGAGAAATGCTCAGTTCCAGTCCCACTTGAAGGGCAAAAACATCTGTTCAACTTTGGCCAATCCTTTCAGGCCTAGGAAGCAGGAAGTTGACAAGGAAACTGAGAGGCCAGGCATCAAAGACTGACCCAAAGGCACTAAAAACGAAGATAAGTAGCAGCACTTTTCACTATTTCACGGGGCTCAGTTGCAAAGCTCAGTTGCTAGGAGTCGAAAAGGACCTGCTGCCATATAAACAGTGAAAACATCTTCCAAATGCCATGGTGGAGCCTGGACAAAGCGTGTTTTTCCACCTCCTGTTGCTAGATGGCGGTAACGCAACATTTGTACCTAGAAAGGTATCAATTCAGTAGTGCCATCCGAGCTTTAAAAAGGAGGATTTGAAAAGCATTGAGTACTTTATTGCTAGAAAGGATGGGAGAGGAGGAGAAAAAGCGCAGAGAGGAACTTCCTCTTCCGGAGGACTCATGGGAAGAAGGTGGTGTGCAAAGCGGCTTCTATGTTCTTCCACGGATGGAAGCAGCAGCTGGCAGGTGAGTTGGGGGCAACAGGTGGGAGGAGAGTCCGGGAGCAAGTTGGACTGTTCGGTTCCCTCCACGGCCTGGAAGCAGAGAAGCAACTGGGCTGAAGCGTGTCAGCTGCAGGTTTCTTCCCTCCCCAGATCGGAGCCCGCTGGGGCTGCACGCTGTGAAACT